AACTTTTCCAGGCTCGGGGAAGGGCGGCCTTGGGAAAAGTTCAAACGCGCGCATTTTGAGCTTTTAGCAGGCTGAAAACTCCAAAATGAGCGCGTTTGAACTTTTCCAGGTTCGGGGCAAGGGCTTGAAGTTGACACGCGTGCCTCTTCAGCAGCATGTCATCCAATCGGTGGGCATCTCCTCGTCTAGGACCCTGGATAAGAAATCCCACAAATCCAGGGTCTCATTTCTTATTCTCAACGATTTCTTATTGAATGCGCTAACCGTACAGCAAAATCGCGAGGTACTGGGATGTGAAGCAGAAGCTGATCGCGCCGAAGCAGTACGAGGCCTTGCCCGAGATCCCGAAGGAAATCAGGTATCCGAAGGCCTCGGCCGACGTGAAGACTGTCATCCAATGCGTCCAGGCTCCATGATCCGTTGCTTTGGCATTCCGTGGTTGGGGTTCACGCTGCATATCTACTTAGTGATGCCCTGCAGGAGATGACTTCGGCGGTTGCTGATGGCCATCGGATTTTGTCGTGGTGGTCGAGATGCATTCCGGGCTGCCCTTTCGATGTGGTTAAGCCGCCCGAGCGAGTCCTGGCACACATCGTCACATGTCAGCGGAGTGTGAAATTCTGTGTCTTTCAGCTGCTTCCAGGCATCCTTCCAATGATCAGTATGATGTAAGGAAACACGTCCTCCGGGTCCGAGCCTGCGTCTGCGACGACTTCCGAGCGTGCGTCTGGCAGTGGCCTTCGTAGGTAGGTCAGACCGAGTGCCCGAGTGCCCCTCAAGCGCTGGCACTGCTGTGTAGTATAGGTGGGACCGAGGCTGAGCTGGACATCTGCAGCCTATGCTAAAAAGGCAGTCCTTTCTTGAACTTTACTGTAACTTTGCTTTGGTCATGAGTTGGCATGTGCGTCAATGCAAGTGTTCTTCATCATTGCTGCTCGCCCAGGTGCCAGCATGTCTCTCAACTGCTGCAGCTCCAGACTCAGATTCTCAGCCATGAAATGAGTCCTCAGTCTGCTGCTTACTACCTTAGGTCAGCCACTGTCCGAGGTGATCTGAGAGATTTCCTAGACATGCCCGAGACGACTTGCAAGGCTCGGCAGCTGTAGCCAGAGATGCGCTACTACCAGTGCATGTCGTGAAAGAGTATCTATCACCACTTCAACGTATGGGCTCGTTTGCGAGTCTTTGATCACATCTTTAGCGATCTAGCGCGAAAGTGTGTGGCGTGCCCGGCCGTTGGCAATGATCGTGTTACCGACACATCGTTTGACAGCTTTGTTCTACGGTTGCTTTTTGGCTCTCGCTCAGTTCTCGCTCTTGCATCCACACCTTCTTAGTCCGATGTCAAGTCTTTTGGCTTTTTTGAGCGGCCTGCCACGTAGCGATGCTGTCGCCAATGGCAAACGGTACCTGCGTTTTGAATGTAGTCTCGGACCCGACCTGGCGCCGTGCCCTCGACACTTCAAGGGTCCGGCAGGTTGGCAGAGTCCCGGCGAGTTGGTGACGCTCTACCACGCCACCACCTTGGCGGCCATGGAGGGGTCAAGCCAATGGGCACCGCAAATGAGGGGTCCCTTTGTAGGTCCCCAATGTAGTACGACACCCTTACAAAAAGGACCCCAAAAGGGGACCCCAATTCAGAGAACTACCCTAAACCCTAAACCCTAAAACCCCCAAAGGGACCCTAATTTAGAGAACTACCCAGATGCCGGGCCTTAAGGGGCTTTAGGGCTTCACGGCGTGGGCTAAGAGGTTTCTAGGCTCAGGGTTCCTTTTAAAGGGTTGCCACGCTTTAGGGTTTAGGGTTTGCAGGGTTGAGGGTTTAGGGTTTAGGGTTTAGGACCAAGTTTAGGAATTAGGGTTTAGGGTTTGCAGGGTTTAGGGTTCTTAGGGTTTAGGGTTTAGGGCTTGCAGGGTTTAGGGTCTAGGGTCTATGGTGCCTTTTCTATAACGGGAGCAGTTGTAGGAGCAATAATCCTATATTTTAGGATTTAGGGGCACTGTAGGGCTCTATCATACTCTTCAAGGGCCGTTACAAAGGGGTTTACCTTAGAGGAATCCCTTGGGTTCAGGGTTTTGGGGTTTTGGGCTGAGGCAGTAAGGGATCTTTTGGGTTCAGGGTTTAGGGTTCAGGGTTTAGGGTTAAGGGTCCCACTGCAGTTAAAGCCTGTATAGAGGTTCGTTGATGATAACCTTACTTGTTGCACTCTTGAGGGATTTAAGATGACAGGTTTACTTGCGAGCCAAAATAGATACCCGCAGTTCTTCCAGCCAAGTGTCAAGAGCGTGATTTCTGAACATCCAGGAATCAAAGATTCGCCTTCAGGATATAAGGCTTCACGGACGAGGAACTCGAATTTGGTGTCAGGGTCTGATTTAAGCCCATGGCGTTGAGGTGAAACGAAATACTGACAGTAGGACTTTTCCGTGGTGATCAGTGTGGAAGTCTGGCCGATTCGGAGCCATGTCTCACCTCATCGCCTCCTCTTTCGTCGGTTCGTGGGCAAGGTCTGTGCACATCCCTGTCGAGGACCTGAGGGGGGTTTCGAGTTTGGGATGTAATGGTAACACTTCGCAGGTCCGCAGATGGTGATATAGCAGCACCAAGCTCTCTAAACCCTACACGCTACACCCTAAATCAAACTCCTTAAACCCTAAACCCTAAACCAAAATCCCTAAACCCTACATCCCAAACCCTAAACCAAAGTCTTTAAACCCTGAACCCTAGACCAAACTCCCTAAACCCTACATCCTAAACCACGTAAGACCTATCCTGTCTTGTGCGACTTCAGAAAAGGAGGGACCGGAATGCAGAACCCTAACTCATCACATATCACCCTGAGTATATATGGAGCCTAGAATAAGGGACCCGTTATCTCCTGAAGCTGATATGCACGAGTTTTCAAGACGAGAGAGACGGACTTAGCCTGCTTTTTGGGCTCCGTCCTGGTAAAGGAGTACAATGAGGGCTGCAGTGGCTTGGGATCAGGCTTATTGGTGTCTAGGGCTTATGGAGAGTTTAGGACTTGCGGCTTAGGCCCTGAACCCAAACCCCAACCCGAAACCCGGCGAAGGAGAATTTCGACAAGCTGCTCGAGAAGCTATATGCCAGCCATGTGGCCGAGATCCAAGATCTCCGCCACCAGATGGACCGGCTGCAGGGTTTCTTAGGGGCTGAGTAGGTAACCTTTAACCTTTTTGGGCTTCTATAACCCTACCAAAACCCGACTTCAACCCTGGACCCTAAACCCTAAGCCCTAAGCAGGATCTTCTCCGCGCCGAGCGCCGCAGCGGAAGTGCGTCTGCTACCCTCACCGCTTCGACCCCAGCCGATGGCGACGACCTCAACGAGAGCGTCGAGGAGTAGAAAGTGTAGGGCTTATCCTTAGGGTCCAAGTATCTAAGGATCATATACTCTCCCAAATCTAAACCCTAAACCCTAAAGCCTAAAGCCTAAACCCTAACCCTAGAACTAACCTACATAAGCTGCCATCCTAAGCCCATGGGTGCCTTATCATTGGGTCCTTGGTGGGTCCTTAGGGTTTTAGGGCTACCCACGAAAGCCAAGCAGAGATCTAAAACCCTAAACCCTAACCGAAAAGACCTACTACCTTTTTAGGGTTCTTCATTATGCTTTCTATAGCGAGTTCCGAAAAAAAGGTGGGTCTTTTCGGTTACAGGTAAACCCTAATCCTTAGCATCAAAATAGCCACAAGAAACCTGATATAATAGGGTCTTTTGGGCCCCCAAAAGGGCCTTGAACATGTAAGTCCTTTGAGGGTAAGGGTAAGTTGCTAAAGCCTAAATCCTAAACCCTAAAAAAAACCCTAAACCCTAAACCCTAAACCCCCCGAAACTCTAAACCCTAAGTTGCTAAAGCCTCGGCCCTATCCTGGAAGGAAATTGTTTGGCCAGGAGCATGAAGCTCTTTAGTCCAGGGGGCGTTGAATTAATATTCCTGGGTATAGGGTTTAGGGCTTTAGGGTTTAGGGTTCAGGGTCTAGGGTTTTAGGGTTTAGGGTTTTAGGGTGTTAGGGTTTAGGGTTTGGGGTTTAGGGTTTAGGAAATATTGGTGTGATCTTGCGTAATAGGTAATGTGGTTCTCCAAGGTTCGCCGGCACTTGGGATGTTGACTTTCGGTTCATCGGCTGCATGGAAAGTGTAGTCTTTGGTTTCGAGTGTTGATCTTCTTGTCACGGTTTAGGGATTCGGGCTTAGGGTTTAGGGTTTAGGGCTTTAGGGTTTAAGGTTTAGGGGCTGTAGAGCCGTACCCAGAGAACCCAATACCCCTTAATTAAGGAGTATACTTTGAACCATAATATTATGGCCCCTATAATTTAAGGTATATTCCTTAATGAAGGGGTGTTGGGTTCTCTGGGGAGCCCGCTCCCATGACCGTGTTTGCCTCTCATCCCCGAATCCTATCACTATCATCACGACTTCATAGTTTGCAAGACACCTGCGGGACAAAACACAGAAAGTTATGCTAACTGTTAGCATCCTGATCGATTTCTGTCTTGGAAAAATTAAAACAAGTTTCTGGTAGCCCATTGCAGAAGCCCTTACATGATTCTGTATTATCGCGCCCCCCCCATCCCCGGTTGTAGCTCGACAAAACCTGCTAGGATGAAGATGCCATTGAAGAGGGGGAGGCCAACGGCGCCGCTGAAGACATCGACTACTCTGCCATCGGAGCATCGCAGTCGACCGCAAAGCACTGGAAACTCGGGAAGAAGCGTGCACACAGCAACTCGGCAGTATATAGTTTAGGGTTTAGGGTTTACTGTGCTGACAGCAGTTATACAGGGAGTATGTCAATTATTCTGACACCTCCAGCAGGCCACTGCGGTGTTTTTGCTTTCGCCTACATGGTTGAATACAGTGTCCTATAGAGGCCAGGAAAAGTACCCATATATTCCTAGGGTTCTTCATTATATGTAGACTGCAATTCAGCCTGAACCCTGTTCTAGTTCAGGCTTCTACATAACTGAGGGGCAACTTGGGAATCTTTAACCTTTCCCTTATGGTTCCTATAGAGGTACCAAATACTTTTCAGGGCCCCAAAACTACAACCCAGATTACCATATGAAACCCTAAACCCTAAACCCTAAACCCTATGTAGACTGCAATGTACCCTGAAACCCTGTTCTCTCAACTGAGCCTTTTTGAGTTGCCACCCGAGGCAAGAAGTCTGCCCGGCGCTCGAACTCGCTGCAGTGGGAAGGTAAAATTCGCCCCTTGGTAGGCCTTTGTGGGTTTAGGGTTTAGTTTTTTTAAATGTTCTCCTTGTTGGGCCGAAGTGGATCTTATTCGCGACTGTTTTCCGGAACTGATTTACGAATATCTTTAAACAAGCCTTTACAAGGGCCAACCTAGGCCCGCCCCTTCTTGCAGAAGATCGTCGAGCACCCCGCAACAGACCTTTGCATGAGTGTGCTCATCCTTTGCAACGCCTTGGTCTTTGCCTTCGAAGCGCAGTATCGTGGGCTGAAGCTCTCTGAAGCTTTGGGCTTTAGCGACGAGCCGATGAACGATCTCTGGCCGGGAGCCGTGCCTGGGTTCTTGTTGAGGACATCAAAGTAAGATACTACTTGCTATAGATCCCTACTCTGGCATGGCAACTACAACTAAGCTTCTTAACAAGATCGCAGGTGGACTAAACCTGACTAAACCCTAAACCCTAAACCCTAAATTCCTGACAAGAACCCAGGTGGACTAAACCATAAACCCTTAACCCTAAACCCTAGACCCTAAACCTTATCCAGGTGGACGTCTTCTATGCTCTGGAAATGACTTTTGGTATCATCTTTACAGCGGCTTGGATTTATGAGCAGGTTTGGGGTGTAAGGCTTGGGGTTGACGGAAACACAGTGTCTGGAGTCTCAGGTTCAGTTCTTTTCTTAGGGTTTGGGGCTTAAGGGGTTTAGGGTTTTTTTTCGGGTTTAGGGATTTAAGGGGTTCAGGGTTTAGGTTTTAGGGTTCATGGCTTGGGAGTTTTGGGGTGTAGGGTTTGGGGGGTCGAATCAGCAGTCAATGTCATGCCACTTCTAGAGTAGTTCGAGTACATCCTGAATGAGCCATGGTGGTAGTATGAGAGTCATCTTCCTGACTGCTGCGGCTACGACGACTATGACTGCTTGCGGCTGTTGTCATGCTTTTTACAAGCTTTGCTACGACGGCGACGACAACGAGAACGACCACTAGCCTCCCGGTACCTCTACCACGACCACGATCACCACTACCACTACCGCCTCAAGTACCACTGCCGCCACCGCTACTGCTACCACTATGTACCACCACGACTACGTACGACGCAGCGTGAGGACATGGTCATGACACGTGATTGATGCGTCTTGGTCCGTCTGGGTGCTGCACAGAGTGTCCCGCCCTCCTTGGCATGGCACCAAGGTGGAAGTTTCCTTTCGATTCTTGGCACATGGCTTCTACCCTAAACCCTGGCGCCAAGGTGGAAGTTTCCTTTCGATTCTTCGCGCATGGCTTCTCGTTTTTTTGGGAAGCATGGAATGTTCTCGATTTCTTTGTCATCAGCGCTTCCCGGATGCAATTGGCAAAGAGTTGGTTTTATTCTTCCCCCCCAAACCTGGATCCCGAACACCCGACGAACCAGTGAGACCCCTGAACCCGAAACCCGAAACCCTAAGCCCTAAACCCTGAACCCTAAACCCGAAGCCCTAAACCCTAAATCCTAATCCCTAAACGCTAAACCCTAAACCCTAAACCCTAAACCTTAAGCCCTAAACCCTAAACCCTAAACTTCCTAAACCCTAAACCCCAAGAAGCCTTAGCAAAGGATTCCTGCATCTAAGGTCTGGCTGCTGGAAAAGCTGGTGACCAACTTGCCGGTGAACAGCCACTCAGTGTTTATGGTTACCTTCTTTGGGCTCTAAACCCTAAACCCTAACACCCAGTGTTTCTGGTTGCCTTCTTTGGGCTCGAAACCCTAAGCCCTCAGCCCAGTGTTTCTGACCCATACCTATAATCTCCATTGTAGTTCCTTTTTTTGGTTGAACCAATTCTATATTAAGGATCCTGAAAGGTAACCCCAAGAAGGAACTACAATGGAGACTATAGGTAAGCCCTAAAGCCTTAAACCCTAGACCCTACAGCCACCAAGGCCCTAAAGCCCTAAATCCTTAAACCCTAAATCCTAAAGCCCTAAACCCTTAAACCCTAAACCCCTAAACCCTAAACCCTGTAACCCTAAAACCCTAAATCCTAAAGCCCCAAAGGTAAGGCCCAAGCTCAGTTCCTTCTCTGGGCTCTCCCACGCCCCGATCTTCGCGCTAAACCCCGCCGCGGACGGAACCCTTTCGGACTCTAAACGCTTCACCGGCTTTTCAGAAGACTCTAGACGACTCTAAGCCCTAAACCCTAAACCCGAAAATCGTAAACCCGAAACCCTAAACCTTAAAGCCCTAATCCCAAACCCGGAGAAGCTTCAATTCAAGCAGCGCCCTAAGCCCTGAGCCCTAAACCCTAGCCGCCCCGGCCTCAGAAAACAGAAAACAACACCCTAAACCAAAATATCCGAAGTCCTAAATCCGAAACCCCAAACCTGCACTCTGTCAGGCTCCACCTTTTCAAACAGGAGTTGAGGAAAAGCCCTAAACCCTAAACCCTTATAGATTCCTTTAAAGGAACCCTTATAGTACCCTTTAAAGGAACCCTAAAACCCCCCAAAAAGCTGCTCTTCACCTCAGGTTCGGCTCGGTGGCTTTCTTGAGCATTGCCAGATGCCGCGGCCCGCGCAGGCATGGAAATTATCTCGAGGCCCCTCGGGTGGAGGGTGGGTTTAGGGTTTAGGGTTTAGGAACTATCATAGTGGGGGCTCTGTTTGGGTTGCGGTAAGGGGTATGATAGGCCCAGAGAGCCCAATACCCCTTAATTAAGGAATATACCCTTAAAGTTTAGGGGCCTATGATGATTTAAGGTATATTCCTTAATTAAGGGTTTTGGGTTCTCTGGGTTCGGGTGTAGGGTTAATTAAGTTCAGGGTTTAGGGCTTGTCAACCACCGTATAGTAGAATTTAGGGCTGATAGTTTACAGTAGGGTGTAGGGTCTATGGTTTGGGGTGTTTAGTCGGTATTTGCGTTTTGGAGTGGTTCGGCCCATGGCTTTTTGAGGATTTCAGGGCTTGCTGTGGAGTTCTGGGGCGAGGAGAAGAAGTACCCAGCTCAGCTTGAGGAGGCCTTGCAGGGTGAGATTGGATACAGCCTGACTGCAGGTGGGTTGACGGCTGCACATGGATACGCCGTCACCAAATGATCGAGTTTTCAAAACGGGTGTGTCTGCATGGCCAGCAGCACTGACCTCGTCCCACTTAGTCCTGATGCCGGCGATGATAACTCCGAAGTCCGACACACTGCTCGATGATGCCGTGTAGCCTGTGTTGACTTTGGCGCATCGGGTCTGTTGAGCTCGGTTCGGTTTAACTGCTTGCGGCTTTCAGCGATTTCCGAATATCCCTAAACCCTGAGCCCCAAACCCTGACCCTGAACCCTAAACCCTAAACCCCAAACCCAGGGCCGTTGTGAGCCTTCAATTGCCCATGAGCTGCCAACCCTAAACCCTCAGCACCCTAAACGCAAGCACGTTCTTAAGTCTAAGCCGTCAACCCTAGAAAATCGCAGAAGCTTCCTTGTCATCCTAGATAAGATGGGGACTCTTTGGCGGTGAGAGACTAGGGTTTCGGGTTTGCCTACTCTGTGCTTAAAGGTTCTGGGAGAGTTTTTGGCATGCTTATGGGACTGGGGGGAGCTTGTGACTGCAATGACGAGCACTGCTTTCATGCGGTTTAGGGTTTAGGGTTTAGGGGTTTAGGGTTTAGAGTTTAGGGTTTAGGGTTTAGGGTTGGCACTACCACCTAGCCTCTGATTCTGCAACCGTCCGAGCGTGATGACTCCTGCTATACAACCCTAACCCGAAGCCCAAACTTAATCCCTAAACCCTAACCCCTAAACCCCCTAAGCTCCTAAAACCCTAAACCTTAGCCTTAGATAGCCAATGGGAGAACTTTAAACTTTTTGGCCTTATATATTAGGTCTACCCTAAAAGGTTTGAACTTTTTTTGGGCCTGGTTGTTGAAGAAGAGAGTAGCCCTCAGCACCGAAGCCCCCGACGCTTTCACATATTTGTCTACCCTAGGGGCCAGAATGGTTTGTTTGATCGCAGCCCCTCATGGTCGCTGTGGGTAGTTCTCTAAATTAGGGTGCCCGTTTAAGTTCCCAACATAGTACGGCACCCTTAAAAAGAAAGGACTCTGACAGGGACCCTAAATTAGAGAACCACCCATATATAGATGTAGTGTTTTAGGTTGGAGCTTTGCGGCTTGAGTGTTCAGGGATGGATCTAGCAGGGCATTATGTTTAGGGTTTTGGTCTTAGGGTTTGGGGTTTAGGGTAATGCTGAAGGTTCGGGCTTCGGGATTCCTAAACCTAAACTCGAGAGTGTTCAAAGCCATCGCATAGAAGCCTGAATCATTGATAATGCTGATGTTCCCTGATTACAAGTACACTATAAGAACGTAGCCCCAAACCTTATTCTAATTCTTATGGAAGCTTAGGGCCCCTCTATGTTACATCAACTATCCGCTGAGCAGCCAGGTGCGATACTTTGACTTTGCGTCCGTGGTGCGGTTTAGCACCTACTTCAATGAAACTGGCTTCGGTGCATTAAGGGATCTGCTGATGGAGGCTCATCGACATGAGAGGATCGAGGCGGGCAAGGGTTAGGGGTTTAGGGTTTAGGGGTTTAGGGTTTAGGGTTTAGGGTTGTCATAAGGGTTCTACAGCTGTGATTCGGATGTGTTGGAATGGCTGACAGGGCAGACAGGGCAGAAAGTATAGCCAGCCTTCAGGCTGGAGTTGTTTGCACCATGCCCAGCTGAATCATATAGATCCGACGTGCGCTAATTCACCCCCGAAACCCAATCCAGTGGCCTGGAATGCCTCAAGCCCAAAACTGAAAGCCCGAAATCTTAAACCGCCAACCCTACTCGCTAAATCCCGAAAAACCCCCAAACCCTAAGTCTTAAACCCTAAACCCTGGATCCATAGGTGACGCCGACAACTGCTCCAGAAGGTCTCCGAACAGGGGTACCTGGAGCAGCATCAGACATGATCCCGCAGATGCTCCCTCAGGTGCAGGACAATGGTTTGTGGTTAGGGTTTAGGGTTTAGGGTTTAGGGGTTTATGGTTTCTACGTAGAGTTTAGGGGTTTGTTTGGGGCTGAGGGTTTAGGGATGTAAGCAGTAAGCCGCGAGTTACACTACACGAGTTGTTGCTGTAGCTGGCCGCTATGCAGATTCGCCCAGGGACAACGAACAACGAAAGATGTGGTTTTTGCACAAATTCAATGCAGAAGACAGCTGTCCTACCACGTGTTTGGGAGAGATTGTTGAATAACTCGATAAATGAGTAGGGAAAGAGACTCATACAAAGAGACAAGTCGATTATCATTACTACATATTACTACCTATTTCGATATCTGTTGGAGTGTGATTTCGCATTTCGTCCCACGCCGGATCTCTGTATAAGTATTGACGCAGATCAACTATTCTGAGACGCAGGGGGTCACCAAAGATCAAACAATTAACGATGCCTCGAAGCTCTGAACCCCCTAAACCCTAAACCACGGGCTCCAAAGCCTCAACCGTAAACCCTGTGGGTGTGTACACGGGCCATCAGCAGATGCAGGAAACTGACACCAAGGAGCTTGATGCCAGCATTAATGTGCAGTGACCCGGCAGACTTGTATGGTCATAACTTGGGGGGGCTTTTGATTTGGGGTTTGGCGTTTAGGGTTCGGGGTTTANNACCCCAAACCCTAGACCTTAAACCGCTAGATAAGGGCCCGGTCTTCGCTTGCATTTCGGTATTGTTCGTGTTTGGACATTGAGTAAAGTTTCAGGCCCACACCTAGAGGCCTTTGGTGATGTGCCTTTTCCTAAGGCTGTAGTGAAGGCTTTTGTGCCGTCAGGCCATGTTATGTGTGGCTGCTTGGCTAGTTTATTTACATGGGAATCTATATTCATATTGACACTAGATGCAAAACTCCACGATGCTTCCTATACCTTCCGGCGCCAAGCCCAGTTAGCCAACAAACCCTTGGAGCCCCGAGACTCAGCTAGGACAAGCTGTTCTTCACCCAGAAGCCGGAAGATGAACCTCTACTAATACAGAAGCCTGAATAGATATTTGCAGTAGTGCTTGGTACTCAGGGCCGGGGTTGCGATTGTCATCATCTTTGCTATCTGCTTAGTATTGCTTTAGTATTCCTATGAGGGTTAAGTTATCATTATTGTCGGTCTTCGTACAACATTGTAGGCGCCACAGAAATCCACTCCATCTTCACAGCAAAGAGCCTTTTCAGAATGGCGGTCTTCGTAGTCCTGGGATGGGATACATTTGGAGGCATCGGGTTCTCAGGCAGGATATTTGTTTTGCTTTTTGTCCGTCGGCGAGGCACTTGGCATGAATAGTTCGGCGTGTCACGCCCTGGAGGTTTGACAGCAACTGTCGTAGATTGGCCCC